GAAGGAAGGAAGGAAGGAAGGAAGGAAGGAAGGAAGGAAGGAAGGAAAGAGAAACAAAGGAATAAAAAAATTAAAGGGGAAGAAAGAAATGCATCATTTAAAAGAGAGCAAGGCACAAGAGGCTTAACAGCATTTTGTTCTCCTTCTGAGTTTTACAATGTATGGGCTGCACTATAGCAACCTGAGAAGTTTCAAGAGTTGCGGTACTTCTGCAAGCTAATTTAAGGGAGAGAAACGTGCAACATCAGATTAGAAATTAAGAGAGAAAGAGGTTAAAAGGGAATCCAAGGCATACACATGTGGTGGTGGTGGTGGTGATGGAGGGGGGGTAGACTTTTTGTTCCTTGAGAATAGCAAATGGTGTGTGAAACCAGGGAGGGAGGGGGTCCAAGTTTGCAGTCGGTGGCTAGAAAGGACTCAGCCTATAGCATTTGGGGGAGGGGGCAATGCCAGATGACGACGAGTTTCTTGGAAGGGGCTAGATGGCTGTCTGCTCTTCCGGAGGGGGGGGGATAAAAAAGAAAGAAGGAAAGGCGGTTGGAGGGAGGGGGGGCACAGAAGTGAAAGACTGGGGACCATGAGTGGCGTTAGGTCTACTACGATCTTAAAGATTCTTTACATCAGAGTTAAAAAAAAAAAGTACAGAAGTCAGATCCTGCCCAGCTTTTACACCAAGCAAAGGGTCTGATTTCAAAGGCCGTCTCCCGCTCTCGCTTTCATAATGCTTCCTCGCTACTAATCAAGCAACGCAGAAAGGATGGGCAAGCGGGGAGGGAGATCGTGCCCAAATACACCACCGTACCTAGGGGAAAAAAAGGGGGTGGGGTGGGAAGAGAAGATGGGGTGGTGTGGGGCAGGGCAAGGAGGGGAAGTTATTCTCCCGGTGACCATGCCGCCGCCGCCGCCGCAGCCGCCGCCGCCGCGCATTTTGCGCTTACGGTCTCCTTACCTTCTCGGATAGTAAGCCGCAGAAATGCAATATTCGGGGCTCAAATCAGCGCCTCGGAAGAAAACGGAGAGGAGCCGTAAGCTGATCTGGGGATGCTTTGAATGACATTTAAATCCCCAGTAGCAGAGTGAGACCCGAAACGCTTCCTTGCAAATATGCCTGCTGCCGTTGCTGATGCTCTCAGCTCCTTCCTTCCACCGCCACTTCCTCCTCCTCCTCCTCTTCCTCCACCTCCTCCTTCTTCTCCTCGTCCAGCAAAATCCCACTTGGAACGGCCGGGAATCTGTGCTGCTTCATTGAACGGGTACGGGGCCGGAGTGCTCGCCTTGCCTGGGATGGGCACGGGAAAAGCGGGGAGGGGGAAAGAATTAAGCGGAAAACGCTCGGATTCTTCAATTACGTCTCGAAACACTTAATTTGCTGCAGGAGAGTAAGAAGCGGGCGGGGGAGCGTGGCAAGCTGCGGGAGGCGGAGGGGCATCGGAGCGCGCAAGGAAGATGTGAACTGTGCGCGGAGTGGAGACGCCGAAAGCCTCCGCGGCTCCTGAATCAACGTTTAGCCATTCCTCGCACATCGACGGCGACAGCTACCCAGCCCCCACTGCCCGCATGCCGGTCGCCTCGGCTCGCCTTCGGGAGGGCTGGAAGCAGCTCCCGCAGCCGGCCAATCCCACCCTTCTCCCACTCGCGTCGCTCTCGCCCTCGCCGTAACCCACCGGCGCGACATCAAAAGCCGGCGCGAAAGAAAGAGGCCCTTCCTTTCAGAGAGAGCGCGGACGCCTCTCGGCACCCCGCGCAACACTGAGGAGTGGGCGCCTAGATTTATTGTTTAGGCGGCGTTTCCTCAGCTCGGCATGAGTGGCGGGAGAAGAGCCGGCGGCAGCGGTAGCCGGGCTCTTTGACAGTATATGGTCCGCAGTGGCCACCGGAACAGAAGCTCCGAGAGCTAGCCTGGGGGGAAAACGGGCGGCGGCGACGGCGGCGGGCTGTACAGCTCGGCGCTTCGCTTGACGCCGAGCAGTCAACCGATATCGAGAGCCACAAGCCAAGAAGCCTCCTTAGGGCGCGCCATTCCTTCCTTCTCACCCTTTGCGGACCTTTAGCGAAGAGCGAGCTTCGGGTCCCGAAGTGCGGGTGTGAGAGAAAGGGTGGGGGATGAGTCGGGGACAACTACTCTTTGTTGGTCGTCAGAGGGGAAAGGTGCTTCTGCTACCGGCCAGGCTTCCCACACATGTACATAACATGGCGCAATTATGTCTCGGCCACCTTTTGTTGTTCCGTGCCGTCTTTATCTGTCCCAGTTTTCAAGGCGTGTTTTCCTTTCTGATTAAAGAAATGTTACCATGGATACAAACTGACATGCTCTGCCAACTCTTCTATTGTGGATGTGGTTAGGGATTGGGTTCACCTCAGCTCTTACAGGACATTTTGGGAGGATGAAGGCATGCCCTGCTTTCTCTCGCCTGCATTCTCCTGCAGGAACATCACAAGTTGGGCAGTAATAGAAGGTTTCACACCAGGCTCTCCTTCCTACCTGTCAGATCAGAGCTAATTCCTATTTGCAAGACTTGGGTTGCTGGCACAAAACACTAGCTCACCAGCAATTGCTATATAAGGCTACCTAAGGAAATGGGAGCAGCCTTGTAGATTCACAGCTCAAACCTCCCCCCCCCCCCCCATTTCATATATTCTTAGGCTATCTTTGAACATAGGTTTAATAGTGTTCTATGTGATCATTAAAACCATGTCTAAAAGGAGACTCATGGTAGCTGGTATATGCTATTAGTTGGGCTATCCTTGAATACATTTTGTATGAACACTTGCACAAATGCAATTTTAAGAGATGGTGAAACCCACTTGCTTTAGCCATCTGTCAAAACCCACCTCATCCTTATCTCACAATAAGAGTAAGTGGTGGATATTTTACCACCATGTAGGGCGGTTTCATCAAAGGAGATGGAGGCAAATCGATCCCTATCTCTTAAGATGTCTTGTTCATAATATATAAGGACAATACTAGGGTGGGAATCACCTATGGAAGCAGCACATTTTATGCTGCTATAGTTTTCAGGCTGATAGTTCATTCTCTCAGCTTTGAGGAAGAGCCAAACTGACATAGTTTAAATTGGGTTGGCAATAGCAGCTCACACCAGAAAAGAGATAATAAATAGTCAGGGTGGGGGTGAGGAAAAGACCACAGAGCAAGAAATACAGTATCCACACACAATGCAATGTCAGTATAGAAAGAGTCCCCTATCAGGAGGCAGCAAGTGGCTGAGGAAGTACATGTCAAGAGGGGTGAACAACAGTTGAAATTGCTGTTCCTAATTTGATCCTCAGCCCTTCCTCTGATGGTGCAAGCATCTGGCTCTTGGAGTCAGTTTATCTGGGGAATTGACCCAGTTATAGAAGTAATGACAGCTCATCTGGCAGCTGAGCTCTGGAGTCTATGGCATTTGTAACGAGCAATAAAGCAGTAAAAAGTCTCCATTGAACTTGATTCCTGTTGATTTCATGGATTCATACGTTTTGTCAACCGTAGAAAACTATTTTTTAAGCTTCCTAGATTAGTAATTTCTCATCCAAATACTAACCCTGTAGGACCCTATTTAATTTTCAAGGACATAAAGTAGAATTTTTCAGGATATGTTTCTGCTCTAATTAGGTATAAAAAGTTTTGAATTACTGCCAATTGTATCGTCCTCATTGTATATAGACCTGGTAAACTGATACAAGTGGGGTGGAGGAATGAAAGAATGAATGAAATGACAAACCTGGTAACAAAACAGAAACATGTTTTTAACTTCTTCCCTGAATTAAGCAATTCCTCAACCTTTTTTGAAGCTTGAAAATAAGTTAGAATCAAAACAGAACTGGGGAAATGATAGGTATTAATACATAAGGCACATGCTAGGAGGGAAAGGATAGAGAACATTCCTACATCTAAGCACCCTCCAAAACATAGTTCTGATCATACTCACTACAATACTATCTGAACTCATCCCCAATATAATATATGAAAAAGCAAAACAAAATAATATGTGTTATCCTGTCTGTCACTGAAAGGTAGAATAAGAAGAATTTATAATAAATGACTTAATCTCAGACATGGAAGGAACCAAATGAGGCTAATATAATGGGATCAAAGGAAAATATGAGTGTTGTCAGGGGGTGTAATTGTCTTGTAATAAAACACAAGTGAGAATCTACCATTAGTCCAGTTAAATTTATTGTTTCCCGGTGGAATTAGTTTACATTCAAGTTCTTTCCTCCTTTGGACCCAACCATGACACAAAAATGCCTCACAAGTGCCATGTCCTCATGATGCTACCTTCATCTCATCTTCAGCCCAATCTTCAGCAGGTGCTGAACCGGTAGTGGAAATCTTGAGTAGTTCAGAGAATCAGCAAATCCCACCCCTGACTGGATATTTTACAGTCTCCTTCCTCTGCCATGCCCACCAAGCCACGCCAATATAACCGGTAGTAAAAAAAACTTTGAATCCCACCACTGCTTCAGTCCATTACTAGCTATTCAGTCAAAGGTGGTATTCAGCAGGTTCTGACCAGTTTTGGAGAGCTGGTAGTGGAAATTTTGAGTAGTTCGGAGAACTGGCAAATACCACCTCTGACTTGCCCCTCCCCCATCTATTCTCTGCTTCCCGAGTCCCAGCTGATCGGCTGGGTCTTCTTTTGTTGCCCTGCACAGGAGAACAGAGCTGGAAAGCAGGTTAGAGGGATGGGGAGGGAATGGGATTTTGCAGTAACCTTCCTCCAGGAGTAGGGAAGGAACGGAGATTTTACAATATCCTTCCGCTG